TGCACGCCGCCGACGATGGCGACGGGCGCCCCGGCCGCGAAGCCCGTCGCGCCGCGCTCCACCAGCTCCTCGCCCACCTTTTTTACCCACTTTTGCTTCCCCGTCTCCTTGTCGATGTAGATCATGTCCTTCTTCGGCTCCCGCGACTCGCCCGGCTTGATGAACTTCTTGCCCTTGCCGCCGCCGCCCGCCTCCGCCGCCGGTGTGGCCGAGAGGCCGAGCAGCTGCGGCCGCGGCACGTACTCCACCGGCACAACCTCCGCCTTGCCGTTGATGCCCTCCCCTTCCTTCCACCCCATGCCCCGCAGCATCGCCTTGCCAAACTCCTCAATCGGCATGCTCTCGTACGCCTCGCCCGTGGCCTGCTCCGCGCGCGTCGCCACGTCCCTCCGGTACCGCTCGTCGTCGCCCAGCGCCGCAGCGTCGCGCATGAGCGCCCGCGCCGCCAGCGCGTCGTCGTCGAGTGCCGGCGCGGCGGCCGGCGCGGCGGCCGGTGCAGCGGCCGGTGCAACGGCGGCATCGGCGGCCGGCGCGGGCGCGGGCGCCGCGACATCGGCGTCTGCCGCGGCCGAAGACGACGGCGCCGCCCGACCGCCAAAGGCGTTTGGCAGTGCCGGGATCACCAGCTCGGCGGCCTTCTTCCCGACGTGGCCGCCGTCCACCTCGAAGACCTCCTCGGCGGACGCGCTCGGCTCGGCCGCCGCCTTCTCGAAGCCGGCGGCGGCGACGGCGACCGCGGGCTTGCGCTTGATGGACATGGACAGCGAGACGGGCTCAACCATGGTGCACCCACGACCAGACCACGACACGGCCTTATCGTTGCGAAAGAAAACCGAATCGCGCGCTCTCACATGGGTTTGTTTTATTTCTTTCTTTACTTCTCCCGGAGGGTGGCAAAAAAAGAAATAAAGCCCTTCGTGATCTGTCTCGCCTCTTGTGGCTCCAACTCTCGCCTCCCCTCCTCTGCGATGGACGTCGACTACTACGAGCTGCTCGGGCTCAGCCCGTCCGCGTCGACGGACGCGGTCCGCAATGCCTACAAGGAGAAGGCGATGAAGCACCACCCCGACCGCGGAGGCAGCGCCCCGCTCTGGGCGCAGATCCAAAAGGCGTACGACACGCTGTCGGACCTGCAGCGGCGCGCCGTGTACGACCGGACAAAGGCGGACGCGGAGGGCGGCGCCGAGCGGCAGTTTGCCCAGAAGTTCGGCGAGGGCACCTTCGACCTCTCCGAGTCGGGCCCGTCCGCCGAGTCGGGCCAGGGCGCGGCTCGCGGCAGAAAGGGAGGCATGAACATCCTGAAGCAGATGGCCGAGGTGAGGAAGGACGAAGAGCGGCTGGCCGCGTCGAACCGCACCGCCGTGATCCAGTCCGGCTTCTCGATGACCCACTCCGCCGGCTTTGACGCGTGGATGCGGAACCAAAAGGGACTCGGCAAACACAACTTTTTCACGGCAGACGACCTGCTGCGCGAGGCAAAGGGCGGCATGATGGGCGGCCTGATCGAGGCGACCGGCTCGACGACGACGCCGCTCCCATCGCTCACCGCCACCGCCGTGCGCTACGACCGCCACGGCCCGCCCGAGGAGGCGCCGCCCGCCCCGCCAGCAGCGCCGCGCCCGCTGCGGCCCGCTGTGGTCCCGTCCTTCCCTCCCTCCCGCCGCTGTCCGACTTGCCTCCGCGGCGGCGGGCTCGCAGGTGCTCCGCGTGGACCCGCAGTACCAGCTCCCCTCCTCGCTCGAGCACGGCGAGGTGCTCGTCTACTGGCTCGCCGCCTGCGTCAACGAAGAGGACCTGCTGCGCGTGCAGACGCCACTCACCATCCTCAACAACTTCCCGCCCTTCAGCCGGACAAAGCACAAGTGGGAGGAGATCCGGCTGCCCGCCACCGCCGGCGGCGAGGGCGTGGGCATCGTCATCGCCACGGCCAAGGACGTCACTCCCCTCAAGGTTGACGAGGGCGACGAGATCGGCAAGGCCGTCCGCAGCCTGCCCGGCCTCAGCAGCGGAAAGAGCGAGGGGCTCGAGGTCAAGGACTGGGTGGTGGCGCTGCCCGACGCGCGGTGCGTCGCGCCCCGCGCCCCTCCGCCTCGCCCCTCCGCCCTCCGCCCGCCCTCGCCCTCGCCCGCCCGCCTCGCCCGCCCGACCCCTCGCCGCCCCTCGCCGCCCGTCGCCCGCAGCCGCTCGCCGGTCGGCTGCTGGTCGACTCTCTCCGTGTGCGACTCTTCGCGGCTGCTCAAGGTTCCGGCGCAGCTGCTGCCGCTGCAGCACTACGCGTGCTCCCGCTCCCTCTGCACCGCCTACCGCCTCCTCGAGGACTACGGCTCGCTCCGGCCCGGCGACACCATCATCCAGAACGCGGCCGACCTGCCCGTCGGCCAGGCGGTGATCCAGCTCTGCAAGATGCTCAAGATTCGGTCGATCAACCTGGTGCCCGACGACGAGGGCTTCGAGCGGACCAAGGAGCTGCTCGTCCAGCTCGGCGCCACCCACGTCCTGCGCGACAACTCCAAGCTCGCAGAGTTCCTCGAGGCGCTCGGCAGCGAGATGCCGCGCCTCGCCCTCGACTCGCTCGGCGGCGACGCGGGGCGGCGGCTCGCGATCGCGCTGCGGCCGGGCGGCGCGCTGGTGGTGCACTCGATGCAGTCGGGGCAGGTGCCGCAGCTCTCGCCTTCGCTCATCATGTACCAGCAGGTCTCGCTCTACGGCTTCAACCTCTCTCAGTGGGTGAGCGAGCACGGCGCCGAGGCGTACCTGCAGATGCTGCGCACCCTCGCGGAGCTCGTGCAGGCGGAGCGGCTCAACGTCTTCACGCGCACCCTGCCGGTCGAGCGGCTCGACGCCGACGCCCTCGCCGCCGCCCTCTCCTCGCACCGCGCCGTCCAGGACGCAAAGTCCTTCCGCGAGCGCACCGTCTTTCTCCTCGGCTCAGAGGCGGCGGCGAACGACGTCTACTTCGAGGTGTCGGCCGCCATCCGCCGGCTCGAGAGCAGCGCGGACAACGGGTTTGACCCCGCCTCGCCGCCGTACCGCACGCCCGGAGGCTCGAGCGTCCACCAGGGCAAGAGCCCCGCCGCCGGGGCGGTGCGTCCGTCGGAGCGGTGGGCCGACGCGGGCGCGATGCTCAAGGAGCTCGAGCTGGAGCAGTACGTCTCGAACTTTGAGGAGGAGGAGATGACGTCGATGGCGCTGCTCGAGGACATCGTCAACCGCAGCGACGGCGAGAAGGAGCTCATGGAGGCGCTCAAGGAGATGGGCATCAAAAAGATGGGCCACCGGCAGACCATCGTCGGCGCCGTGCTGGGCAAGCTGTGAGCGGGCGGCGGAGGCGCGGGGGAGGGAAGAGCGGAGGGCGCCGCCCTCCCACACACCTCAGTCTGCGCGTCCACTCCACACGTCCACTCCACACGTCCATGCGCCGGGCCCGACTCAAATCGCGTCTCGGCGCAAAAAATTCAGCGCGAGGTGGGCGAGCCCTGCCCTAGAGGGAATTTTTCACAATATCGCAACCGCGATACCGCGCGATATTTGGCGATAAAATGCGATAAATGGCGATGTTGTGCGATGCTCGCGATCACGCGAGCCCTTCACAGCACGCCTCAGCGACGCGCGTGAAGCGTTACACGTCGCGCTTCGTCCTGGCGCTTCGCTCGCTCCGCTCGCGTTGCGCAGCTGGATCTGGCTGGCTACACACCTCGCGGCTTGCACATGAGCAACGACAGCAGCGACCACGGCAATAGTCAGAAGAAGAAGAAGCGGTCCCGGCACAAGCGCACGGCGACAGCACTGCCGCCCGCAGAACCGTCGCCCACACCACAGCCGGCGCCGTGGCGGTCCACACAGTTCCAACTCGTCGACGGCGTGAACCGCTACCGTGCTGGACAACAGGAGGTCGACGGCACTATCATGCTATATGGGGCCGTCGGCGGCCACATGTGCAGCTTTGCCCAGCTGACCGACTACTCCCGAGGGCTCGAGGTGGGACGACGCAAGGCCCCGCAAGAGCGCTTCGCCTGCGGCGCGCCTGCCCGGCCATGGACCAGGCTTCACCGCTGCTTGCGGACGGTTGATCGCATCGCCTACCGCATCGCGAATGACCAGTGCTGCGACCACTTGAGCTTGCACTACCTGCCTGCTGACCCGGTGCAAAGAATCAGCGTCTCGCTCTCTTCGGCGCATTGATTGTGCATGAATGCTCAAGTGGCTCGAATTGGCATCCACCGCAATGCAAACATGACTGGAGAGCATATGCAACACGGACGCAGGCTTGCCGTTGGCGACGTCGGTTATCAGAGGGGTCAAGTCATAGTGACGCGCTCGATGGGTTGCTGCATTGACGCAGACAGCAAAAGCAGCGCAGCGGAGACCTTCTCATGAGTGGCGGTTCGCACCATGCGGCAGTGAACATCAGGTGCGCGAATTTAAGCGCCATTTTCGATTCCGTGGTTTTGGCACTGTCTACCAACTTTGGTACAAATCGACTTGGTCTGGGCACAGTCGCACAGACGAGCCCTGCGCGGGGCTGCGCATGCAGCGATATCGCGCGATATTGCGCGATATTGCGCAATATTGCGCGATATTGCGCGATATTAGGCGATATTAGGCGATATTAGGCGATCATTCGCGATACACCGAAAATTCCCTCTAGAGCAGGGATTGGGCGGGTCGCGCAGAGAGTAGAGAGCGCAGGCTCAGCCGTCGTGACGGCATCGCCTCATGCGCATGTCCATGTATTATTTGATAATCACACCGAAAAATCTCCGATTGCGATTCGTCTCTCTCACCTTCCATGTGTTGTGTGCGCTCTCTCTCGTCTCTGGGTGAGGGAGTCTCTGGTCTCTCTGGCTCTCACACGTCACACAGGCCTGTGACACAGCTCCTCACTCCCGCTCACACCCCCGACACCTACAACTGCCGCGGCTCACCAGTCACCTGACCACACCTGGGGGCGAGGGGCACCGCGACCATGGCACCGACGCACCGTCGGCACACGTGTCACATGACTGCCACTGACCGAGAGAGCGAGCACCATCTCACCACCATTCATCCATGCAACCACGGTCATCACAGCACCGGTCACCTCACCGTCGACACACAAAGGGGCCACACATCGCAATATATCCGCTCCGTTTTCGACAAGTCTCGTTGCTTCGGCGATTTTGCTTTTGGTTGGGGTTGTGGCCTTCCCACACCGTGATTGCTTCACTCTCATTGCGAGAGCCCGTTTTGCTGAGACCTCGCCCGCCTCGCCGCCCGCCTCGCCCGCCTCGCCACCCACCTCGCCCGCCTCGCCCGCTCGCCCGCCCGTCTCGCTCGCGCTGGCGGCGACCTCCCCCACGAGCGTGCGAGTCCAGCTCAGAGATGCCCACCCGGCGAGACGATGTCGATGCCCGACACCGCGCCCCTCTTCTCCTTGAGCCACTTGACCCACACGAACTTGTCACGGTTTCCGCGGGCCCTTCTGTGCAACGCGACGAGCACTCGGCCACACGTCATCATGGCCTCGTGCCCAACGTCGATCAGCTGGGCGTACTCTGCCTCCCACGGCTGCCCCGTAGCGTGGAGAGCGAGATGGATTGCGGCGGCAGAAAGGGTTGACGGGCGAAAGGCGAGCGTTGAGGCCTCGGCCAGCGCGAGTTCGAGCAGGTATTGAGCGAGGAACTCGGTGCGTGTTCCCTGGACGCACGCGGCGTGGGCCAGCCGGTGGAGAAACGCGAGGGGCGAGGGAGCCGTCAGCCGGAAGCCCACCGTTGACAAAATATCCGCTTCCATTTTGAAGACGTCTTGGCGCGTGCACCCTACGAGCCCGACTCCTCCGTGAGCGACATTCCTGGCCGTGTCCAACAACAGGAGACATGGCAGCTGCGTGCCGCTCTCCTCGTACTTGGCGGCGAGAAACATGGCGGTGATGCCAACGAGCTCGAGCTTTCGTGCCTCCACCGGCTCATGGCGGTCCAAGTAGCTGTCCAGCAGAAACACTGTCACAAAGAGCGACTCGGCGTGAAGGCGTAGCTCAGCGTGCGTCTCGGTAAGGTAGTCGACCAGAAATTCGCGCGACTTTGGCTGAATGTGTGGCTGCCTCCGCTCGAGGTAGTCGGCAGGCGGCCTCTGGCTCATCTGCGGGCAGGAATAGTGGCGTCATGCTCTCTGCTGGTACGAAACGGCAACCACACGGCTACGCCAAACCTCTGCACGCGCGTAGCACTGGGTAATCTCGCCGAGGTAGGGCGGGTCGGCGCACGCCTCTGCGGCCTGTGTGGGCGCAGCAGTGGCGTCGCTGAGTGTGGTGCGGCGAACCACGTTATTGTGCCGATGGAACGCGCCTTGTACAAGCTGTCGATGCGACACGCGATGTCGGTCTGCGGGCTGCGGTGAGCGATTGATGTCCGGTTGGAGATGTCGGAGAGCATGTGTGCGTGTGCTCTACGAAGGAGCACAGAGCGAGGAGTCGAAAGAATTCGGGCGGCCACTTTTTGGCTGGGTTGGCACGAAGGTTGAAGCGAGAATCGGAGAGAGACTGCGAAGAGAGATAGGAAGAGGCAGACTCCCTAGGGTAGGCGACGGCTAGCGCATCACACTCCTCTCCTTAAAATCCCTGTGTGGTGGCGGCGTGCCGTCCTCCCATCCCTCCCTTGGGTTGTCTGTGTTCTTTCTTTCTTTCTTTTCTGGCTGGGTCAGGCATCATTCGATTTTCGTGGATCTTTTCTTTTTCCTCACATAAAGAATCAAAACACGCAGCCCAAGGGAGGGATGTCCGGCCGGCCCGCCGCTGAC